CAGTCCTTGGTGAAAAAAGAGGGAGCATGAAAGAGTCCACACTTTAGGAAGTCTATGGAATGGTTTTGGTTCTTATTGGGATATAGAATGCTACAGGAGACCCTCATCTCTATTGGAAAATCAGATCAGATTAGAGAATGTACAAAATTGTACCTTGTGTCCATAAGAGTTGTTTTGGTATGTCACCCAGAACCTGTATTCAAATATGTGACAATTTTCCAAGAAGAAATGGGGAATCCAGTCTGCCATACTAAGTCTCTCAATTATCTCTAGAGGAAGCTAACCTGTACACAGAGTTTTATCTGCTGGAAATAAAGTTCTGCTCTTCTTTTTGTCACTTAGGAATCCATGAATACCAAATTGAATTTATAATCCCAATAATTAAATTTTCAATTTTGTAATAATAACACCTATCATTTAGGTAGCATGGATTGTGTACTAGACATCTCCAAAGAATTTAAACTCTAAAACAATCCCATGAGCTATGTCCTATTATATTCTTATTTTATCCATGAGAATCCTGAGACAGGGCTTGTCCTCCAGAATTGATGCTCATAACTACTATGGTGTGATCTGCAGAAATCTATTTAATTTGTCTGCATTTTGATGCACAGGATATATCTAGCCTGTGAAGTAGAAGATCCTAATGGATCATGTATCATGCATTCCCTAAAGAAATATATACTTTGATAAAACCACACACTTTATATTCTTGTACTACAACTTGCTAATTCATACAATAAATCACCTGATGCACATACAAATGTTTATTGTGTGCTTGACAGACACTAGTAAGCATCAGACACTAGATAGAGTATAGTACTGCGCAAATCATGTCTAGTGAAATAAATGGATATTAAAGAACTAATTTCATAATTATGTGGCTGAAAATGGTAGCAATAGCATAAGAGGAATATTCATGATGCATTCACAATAATAATGGGAGTTGGTGGTTTAGAAGGATTCATGTGATTAGGCCAAACATGAGGAAATATATGTAACAGCACATGATAGAAACTCAGTGCTGAACAACTAACCATTAACTTAAATGCCAAGACCATTCACATATCAGAAAAGATCAATTCACAGTTTTATGAAACCTTTGATTGAGATTTGGCCTAAGTCTTCATTTTTGAAATTTTTTTCAATGTTGCCTGGCTGTACAAACCTTTACACTCTGAAGACACAGTCTATGGTTGACTTTTCTCTGCCCTTTTTAATCATGACAGTTCCATGATCAAGCTTAGAGCAATATTCTAGGGAATTCCAACTTATTGCTATTCCAGTCTAACAACTTTATCTTATCATTGACTACTGTAGTTTCTCTGGTGCTATTCTTGCTCTTCGAACTACATGAATGTTGAACTAACAAAATGGCTCAAAGCCTCACTGATTCTGGTAGAAGTTTGAAGAAGGTATCTGTGGACAGGACAGATAACTTGGTAGGAGGATCACAGTATGAAGTGATTTCTGTGAATTTATCACACAAGAATAAACATGTCATTGGCCTTGCAGATCCAGATGATATTACTGGAGTCCTAGACATCTAACTTATTAATGGACAATGAGATTTTAGTTTTATTTTTTGCCAGTATGGGAGCTTGAAATCAGGGCTTTGTGCACTTTCAGATTTCTTGCTCCTGGTTATGAGCCATACCACCAGCCCTGCTCTTTGCTTGTTATTTTAGAATGGAGTTTTAGTGACTTTTCTGGAGTTTCCCATCAGAGCTTGCTTCAAATTATTACCCTCTAGATTGGAGCATCCTAAGAAACTAAGATTATAGGCATGATCCATTGACACCCAACTAAGAAGTCATATGGTCTAAAGATAGTAGTTAGCTAGACCTGAATATTTTCATTTGATGAGAACTATACAACTTGTAGATGGGGATGGAAGGGGAAAACTGGGAGAGACTGAGTAAGTAAGGGATGACATTGTTCAAAAAGAAATGCACTCTATCTTACTTATGTAACTCATCTGTACAACAACTTTACAATAACAATAAATAAATTGAAGAATAAAATACAGAAAAAAGAAACCAAAATTAACATGATAATAATAAAGAGCATGTTAGAAGAGCACAGAAGTGCAAGTTGTTAAAAATTCACATGCCATTGTACTTAAAGCTTCCAAGTTGGACAGCCTGGTGCATCTATTTACATTTCACTGGCCAAAATAAGTTGGGGTGTGAAGTCTAGAAACAATGGGATAGGAAATCATATCTCTTCTACCATTATTAACAACAATAACATTGCACAATTGCTTATCGAAGTACCACTGTAGAACATTTTAATTCAGAAATGGTTTTGGCCAGTCAAATTTATGAAATACTTTTGGTTTTGTGAATATGTAATTTTAGGTTTGAAATATTTGCTTCCATAATGTTTCTTTTCTTATAATTATATTCAAAAGCTATATAATTTTCACTAAAGAATCATAGTTCCTCTATAGTTTGGTTATTTCGAATTCTCCCAGACTTTTGTTCCTTGTAATAATCTTTCCTGATATTATGAAAACCTTTGTAAGTTTCTTTCTGGACATGAAATTATTTCTTTTGACTAGACACCCAGAAAAAGAATAACTGGGTCAAAGAGTGAGACTATTTTAGAGTTCTTTAAATAATTTGACAATTTGCTTTTCAAAAGGGTGGTAACAATGTTGACTCCTGCTTGCAGAATGTAAGAAGCTCATTTGTGCCACATCCTTATTGATGATGGTATTATAAATGATAGGAAATAGTTCTGAGACAAGTTCTTCTCCGAGGTATATTTACCATCCTTGTATTTTTTTAATTTTTTTTCTATCTGAGTATGATTTGATTCAAATAGCTCCTACCAGAAGTTGACATCTTAGAGAAGACAGGGATTCTCAAAGTCTAGTAGCTAAATCCTCATTTTCTACATGCCTACTTAATAAAGGAGACATGAAAAAGTCATCTACTGAGTAAGTACATTAGGAAGTTAGTATAGGATTTTATTTAAATGTTTATTTCTTTGATTCGTTCAAGGTGAAACTTTTTTTTTTTAATATTTGACTAACCAGTTGGATTTTTGCTCTGCTACTTGAGCATTCTTTCCCTTGGCTCATTTGCTAATCATGGCACAGTCCTTTTCTTATCAAAGTAGGTTAACTCTTGGGGACTAGGGCTATAAATCATTGGTAGAGTTCATGCTTATGATTTGTGGGGGAGCTGGGTTTACCCCCAGTACTGAAAGTAAATAAGAAAAGATGAAAGATAAACTGTTTATATAACAAAACAGTATTCTTTCTGGCATAGCTAATATCTATCTCTAATAAATCTGTCAGTTTTTGCAAATTTTCTTCCTAGGTGAAATTGTGAACTGATTATTTTTCCTAAACAGTTTATGATTCATAGGCTCCTGTATTATGTGATTGTGAATGAAGCTGCTTTCTAATGAACAGAGGAAAGGGATATTGTGTATTTTAAATCTCAAACTACTTAAACCCTTAACATTTCTTATATGATTCAAGGGCCACTCAAAAAAGATAAATTACCCTTTGTTCTTTTTGATCATTACACTGTACTCTTTACCTCAATTTAGTCTAAGAATTTTTTTTTCTGTTGAGCACAAAAGAAAGATTAGCACAAATCAATCATTCCAAACAGAAAAACAACCCTTAGAAAGTGTCCTGGTCTCAATGAATCAGAAGAGCCAATTTCATAACTGAAGGAAATGTTGAGCTCAGAATTACGTAATCCAAGTCCACTGTAATTTGAATTGCTAGGGTCGTGGCCAGGTGGCACACAGTACTGTGTCTGGAATTTAAGATGAGGTAACTGGTTGTTGTGGATGAAACAGGTTCTTAAGCGCCACTCTGGAGTCATCGACCTCCACCTTTTCAAGATGACTTTACCATGCAAAGAAATATAAGTGGGCCTGGGGACAAATGGCTGATTCAGAAACACTGCAATGGCCACTTCATGGCCACAAAGCCAAGTTACAGCCTCTACAGGGAAGAAGACCTTTCAAGAAGTCTCTATAAAATCTGGTGCTAGACACTGTTAGCAATATAGCATTTTTTACTGGATGGTTCTCACATTATGTATTCTTTTTCTGGGGGGGGGGCGGGTCCGGTCGTGGGGCCTGAACTCTGGGCCTGGGCGCTGTCCCTCAGCTTTTCAGCTCAAGGCTAGCATTCTACCACCTAAGCCACAGTGCCACTTCCAGCTTTTTTCTTTTTGCTTATGTGGTGCTGAGGAATCGAACCCAGGGCCTCAGGCATGCAAGGCAAGCGCTCTACCACTGAGCCACCTACCCAGCCCACATTATGTATTCTTATACCATTAAAAAAAGAAAAAAAAATCTAAGAGTTAAGAGGAAACTTTTGGAAGTATGTTTGCTACCTTGATTGTGCTGATTTCACAGATACTTGCATATATCAGATTCATCAAAATATACCATTTATTTATTTTTGGTAAAAGCAGATAAAATATTTAATATGTAATTTACAACCAGCTTAGCATACAGGATGAATATAGATTATATCAAAGTAGTAGACAGTTAGGGGTCTGTGCAAACCCTGCAAAAATAGTACTTCAGGTATCTGCTAATCAAAAGCCAAAAATAAAAATTTGCAGTTTAGGAGTGATACAATTCAAACTACCACAAAATACAAAGAACTGCAAAAAATGTATACCATACCAACAACATATATGTTATTAAATAAAGATTTGATTTAAAAGAAAATAAATGAAGCCTCTATGTCTTTTCTACATGCATATTATTCCTCATTAAAGAAAAAAATGTAAAAAGGCCATTGGTAATTGCTTTGTTAACATTTGTAGAAAATGCCAATTCTCTGGTCACAAACTCCACTAAGTTTAGCACTTAAGGTCTCTGCAGTGTTATCAACTTAATTTAAAATACTGTTAATTCTGTAACTCCATTGGTAAAATAATGTGACTTGGAATATGGCAGTCTTCATGTTGACAACAATGATCCACAGTTTTGTTTTTAAATTTCTTAGGCATGAACAGTTATCCAGAAGAACAGCACCCTCGTCCACCACTCTGGGCTTGAGGTCATCATCAATCATCTGTACACCTCTCCTGGCAGCTTCTGGTTGACTAGAGCCATTGCCTTTTGCCCTCTCATCCACTTGGGCTGTCTCTATCTTTCGTTTACAAAGGTCAAGAAAGAGCTCCTCAATTCCTTTGTTTGGCTGAAGTAGGATAATGTTTTTCTCCCACAGACTCTGCACATGATTCCGCTTCTTGAATGGACACATGTCTCTCTTTTTCCAAATCTATTTTATTACCCACTATACATAAACAGATTTCATTTCCCAACATTTTCTGTAATTCTTTGACCCAGTTTTTTACCTTCTGAAAAGAATCTTCATCTGCTCTATAATAAACTAAAATAGCTCCATTTGAATCTCTGTAGTAAAGAGGACCTAATGCATGGAATCTCTCTTGACCCACTGTATCCCATATAGCAAGATTAACTCTTTTCCCACCGATATGTAACTTCGTTGTTAAGAAAGACGCCTGCAGAGTGGTGATGTGCTTGTCCTTGAACTTGTTCTCGCAACAGCGCAGCACCAGCGACGTCTTCCCCAAGCAGCCTTCTCGGAGCAGCACCACCTTGAAGGAGGAGGCTCGGCCCGCCTCAGCCACCAAACCACTGGCCGCAGCCCAAGCCAGAGAGCCGCTCCACACAGCCCCTTCAGGGCCCAGGCCTGCTCACCTGCCCCGCCGCCCACCCGGCCCCGGGCTCCTCTACTCCTCCAAGGCCCTGGAAGGGCCGACAGAAAGTCCTGGAAATGAAGAGCCCTCAGCCACCACGTCAAGAGCATTCCCTCTCCGCCTCCCTCTAAAGGCGTCTCCTTCCTCCTACCTCACATTCCAAAAATATATCATTTAAGTGTGTGTGTTTTATATCAGTCTTACTTTAGTAAAACTTATTTTTGTTCCCGTGAGGGCCCTGGGGCTTGAATTTAGGACCTGGTGCTGTCCCTGAGCTTTTTCCCTCCAGGCTAGGGCAGTACCACTTGAGACACAGCTTCACTTCTGGCATTTTGGTAGTTCATTGGAGACTAATTGGTGCCAAGCTAATAGAATCGTTTTAACAATATCAGTCGCAGCTGGATGCCGGTGGCTCACACCTATAATGCTAGCTACTCCGAAGGCTGAGAGCTGAGGATCCCAGGTCAAAGCCAGCTCAGGCAGGACAGTCTGTGAGGCTCAGCTCCAATTGTGTACCAAAAAGCCAGCAGCTGTGTCTCACGTGGTGGAGTGTAGACTTGAGCAAAAGAGCTCAGGCACCATGCCCAGGTCTGAATTCAGGCGCAGGATGGGCGTGCACACAGAGAGAAGGGAGCCTGGCAAACTCAAACTGCTGAATGGTTTAGAAGAAAGCATCCCAGATGAGTGTTAGGTCCACGGGGAGACAAGGCCCCTTCCTGGATTTTCCCCGGTGCACCCTGGAAGTCCCTGCCCTGCACCTGTAAACCAGGCAGCTGCCCTGCCTGGGGCAGTGGGCGGGCCCTCAGGCTCTGAGCTCCCCATCCGCTGAGGTCAGCTCCGCCTCCGTGTGGCCACACCCCCAGATAGGCTCCTCCCACCACACGCCCCGCCCCTTGTTGTCCTCCATCTTGTGCTGGCAGCGGTTTGGCCACACCCCTCCGGAAACCGACTTCGGCCTGAAACATGTGGCAGCTTCCTCCAGGGCAGCCTTATGTCTTGTGCGGGGACTCCGATGAGGAGAGGGTCGCTGGGTCCCGGGCTTCCCTTCCCGAGGGTCGGTCTGCCTCCTGCCTCCTCCCCCTGGAGCCCAAACTGCTGGAGGAGCGAACCCCACCCCGACCTCTGCCTGCACCTCTGCTGGCTGCGACACCGCTTCCGGTTTCCTGTCTACTTCCGGTGAGCGACTCTTAACCTAAGTGCCTACAGTTGGTCTCTTTCAGGTCCCCCCAGTCCCTACAGTCGTCTCTGCTCAGACCTGAGCCCTTCCCTGGCCTTCCCACCCTCAACAGCTGGCCTAAGTCCTCACTGACTCTGCCCCGTAGATCCTCACCTGATTTCCCACATCCTCACTGCCCCTCCATCTTCGCTGGCCCCGCCTACATCCTCACTGACTCCTCCCCCTGCGACTTCACTGGACTCCTCCCCTCCACACTGGACTCCTCCCCTCCACATCCTCACTGACTCCTCCCCCTACGACTTCACTGGACTCCTCCCCTCCACATCCTCACTGACTCCTCCCCCTGTGACTTCACTGGACTCCTCTCCCTCCACACTGGACTCCTCTCCCTCCACACTGGACTCCTCTCCTTCCACATCCTCACTGACTCCTCCCCCTGTGACTTCACTGGACTCCTCTCCTTCCACATCCTCACTGACTCCTCCCCCTGCGACTTCACTGGACTCCTCCCCTCCACATCCTCACTGACTCCTCCCCCTACAACTTCACTGGACTCCTCTCCCTCCACACTGGACTCCTTTCCCTCCACATCCTCACCGACTCCACCGCGCATGGCTTCACTGCCTCTTCTGCTCTCCACATCCTCCCCTTATGACTTCACTGGACTGCTCCCCTCCACATCCTCACTGGCTCTGCCCCCCATGTTCTCACTGACTTCTCCCCCCACATCTTCACGGACTCTGCCTCCCATGTCCTTACTGACTCCTATCCCCTCCACATCCTCACTGACTCCTCCCCACATAGCTTAACTAACTCCTCCCGTTATGTCCTCGCTACCTCTGCCCCCTATGCCCTCACTGACTCCACCTCCGATGTCCTTGCTGGTTCCATCCCCTAAGTCCTCTCTGATCCACCACCAAACTCTTCACTGACTCCTCCCCCCTCCACATCCTCATTGACTCCACCCATGTCCTCACTGACTCCTCCCCTCCACATGCTCACTGACTCCAGCCAGCATGTCCCCACTGATTGCTCCCCCTATGTCTTCACTGACTCCTCTCTCTTCCTTGTCCTCATTGACTTCCGCCCCCCAAATCCTCACCGACTCTTCCCCTGTGTCCTCACTGACTCCTCCTCCACATCCTCACCAGACTCCTCTTCATGTTTCTTATTCCAAGGGGGTCCCATGAATTTCTCCCTATCTGGGATACCACTTATGATGTCTTTGCACTCTGTCATTACCCTTTTACTCAAGGATTCTGTAAAGCAGACTGCCTTATCATTTATTGCAATGTAGTCTAGCCACAATATGAGCTAGATATTTGATCTCATTAGCCCCCAGATGGGACTATATTATAATATTCTCAGAAATTTGGACAGTTGCTGCTGACCATTGGTAAATGGCCAGAGTTCAGGCTTTCTTTGCTTCTGTGCTTGTCCTTCTCTCTGCCAATCTAGCCCAACTTTCCCTATCCTCCTGGCATAGGGGCAGCCTGTCTCTGCCAAAACACCTAAGAGCCTGGAGCCTCTTCCTGAATCCGAAATACCCTATCCCCTATTCGACATTGAGGACTCCGGTCCTCCTTCCCATTCTAAACCCTCTGTGCCTTCTCTCACTGCTTCAGCTCCTTTGTTTTTGGAGGGGGGGGTCTGGTCGTGGGGCCTGAACTCTGGGCCTGGGCGCTGTCCCTCAGCTCTTCAGCTCAAGGCTAGCGCTCTACCACTTGAGCCACAGCGCCACTTCTGGCTTTTTTCTTTTTACTTATGTGGTGCTGAGGAATCGAACCCAGGGCCTCAAGCACGCAAGGCAAGTGCTCTACCACTGAGCCACCTTCCCAGCCCTGCTTCAGCTCCTTTTTATTCACTTCCAGTAGCTCATATCTGATCCTGTACTGATGGCTCATGGTCTCCTCCAGTGCACTTATACCCTCTGTGGGAGGTGGTAGGGCTGAAGGGAGTTATTGGTGTTCATGCCATTTTACAATGACCTTGGGAGAAGTGACCCTAATAATTACAGCAAAGAGTTTAAATACCTTGTTCAGGCCCATGATCTTACTTGGCATGCTCTGTGTGCAGTGCTATCCTCTAGTCTTACTCCTGAGGATAAGGAAAGGGTTTGGGCAGGAGCCTAGGCACATGCTTATAAGACTCACTGTCGAGACAATAACTTCTCAGTAGAGGTGATGGCTGTGTCCAGGAAAGAGCCCAATTGGGATTACCAAAATAATGCTCCTGGAGGGGAAACAGAAATAGGAGGGTAACCTCCCTGGTGGCCAGCCTCCAGAAGGCAGCCTGCTACCCGATTAACTATGATAAACTAAAGGAGGTTACCAGCGACCCACTGAAAACCTGGCGGAATTGCTGATCGCCTCATGGTGGCACTCAGCCTTATACTAAGCTGGACCCAGAGTCAAAGAATGGTATAGTGGTCCTTAACACCCATTATCTCCTATTCAACTCCCAAAATTAAAGTTGTAAAAGGCCCTCAAATTCCCCTCCCCCCCAACAAGATCTGGTGAGCATGGCCTTTAAGGTTTTCAACAATCAGAAGGAATAGAAAAAAATGATAAAGCTGATCATGATAGGAAAAATTGCCAGCTCCTGTTTGCTGCCCTACAAGCTCCTGGAAGAAGCACCCAATATATGCCACCAGTACCATGCCTTAAAGTGTGGCAAAGAAGATCACTGGGGGAAAGCTTGTCCTACTCTGTGACCACTCTCTGCACAACAGGGACACTGGGGAGTTGACTGTCCCTCCTCATCTCTACAAGGTGGGCCAGTCCTTCCCACACACACACACATAGGGAGGAGCCCAACTTATCCAAGATATTTTGCTGAGTGTTGGAAGACTGATTGTCTCTCAGGCTGCTGGATCCCACAAACATCACAATGGAGGCATGCAGGATATCTCTTCAGGTTGCAGGCAAACTTGTATCCTTTCTTTTGGATACAGGAGCCAATTATTGGGACTATTCTGGCCTGTGTTTTCCTGGTAGATCTCAGGGGTGGTTGTAGACCTTGCTTTTGCCCTGCAACTACCAGACAGGTCCCATGTAGAATAGATAACTATTTTTTTTCCATTCCTTTTTAATGTTACCCCACTGTCCCACAGCCCTTCTAGGGAGAGACTTACTCTCTAAATACCAAGACTTTCTCTCATGCCACACTCCACGACAGCCAGTACCGATTTTAGTTTTGTCCTTCCATGCGTCTCTGCTCAGATCCTCCCAACAGGACCCTTCCCCCTCCCTCCAGATCTTATTAATCTTCTCACCTGGGATATTTCTATACCTATGATTTCTCAACGCCATACTCCTGTCCTCATTAAACTTAAGGATCCTACCCATTTCCCCTTGATCTAGGCAAGGTTTAAAATACTTCATCCTCCAACTTATTAACAACATCTTATGCCTGCTAACTCCCCTTTAGCAGCCCGGTCCTACCAGTCATTAAAACCAATAGAACCTATCGCTTAGTGCAGTACTTGTGCTTTATTAATGCTACAGGCCTCCCTATTCATCCAGTAGTGCCTAACCCATACATTCTCTTTTCACAGACCTATCCTCCTGGGAAATTTCCCTACTGAAGATCCAGAGACTCCACTAACAGGCTTTCTTCCTGTTCTCACTTTCCTTAGATATGTGTTAGGCCAACAAGCTGATGAATGCCTCCCCTAGCCTCATGAAGGCCCTTAATTTTACCAGGGGATCAAGTCTTTCTCAAGGTACTTAATCTGTCTGGTTTACATCCTAAGTGGACAGGCTCTCATTAGGTCTTGCTGACCTCTCCCATCACAGTTAAGCACAATGGAGAGGCTCAGTGTTTTCTCTTAAGAGTAATAAAAAGGAAGTGGTACTGTGGCTCAAAGTGGTAAAGAGTTGAAAAGAAAAAACTGTTCTTGCCTTGGATGACTCCAAGGTATGCTTGCTCTTCTAGCCCCCCTACCAAGACCCTGCCCTCTTGCCTACCTACCAAGACCCTGTTCATAAGATTCTTCATCCAAAACCACATAGATATTTCCCACCAAGGAACTGTTGCCAATGCCTTCTCCAGGACCAGACAATACTGCTGCCTTCTATTTCTAGTGTTGATGCTCCTTGTCAAGAGGAAGAAGCCAGAGAGCCTTGGTACCCTTGGAAACTATCAAAAGGCTGGAATGTTCTGTCTGCCTGGGGAAAAATGGCCCCTTCCCTTGTTTCTCTCTCCCTTGCACCCTAGAAATATCCAACCAGCACTGGTAACCCAGGCAGCTGCCATGGCTGGGGTCAGGGGGCGGTCCCTCAGGATCTGATCCCCATCCTCTGAGGTCACCTCTGCCTCTGCTGTGGCCACAGCTCCTCCCCTGCTCTCCCTGATATAATCTCTCTCCTCCTGCCATAAACTCTCTTGCCCTGCAAGCCTCCATCTTGTGTGGCTGTCAGTTAGATCTCCCCCAATCCCCATCTCCCCTTTTGCCCCTCTCTCCCTCTTCCCCCTCCTCCTCACCTTTCCCTCTCAGCAGTCCTTCTCTCCCTCTCTCCCTCTCTGCCTCTCTCCCTCCCCTGCCCTCCATTTCTCATCTTTGTCTTCCCCTGAACTCTGTGGGAGGTTCCTTTCCACAACCCTTACAGTGAGGATAGAGAAATCAGGATTTGGACTCTGACAGAGAGTGCAGTCACAAGATGCCTAGGAGAGCCTTGATGGCTGGAATAGGGTTTGAAGGTGGCTCTTGAGTCTGGTGAGCTTAGGCTTTCAAACCTGTGAAGATTTGGAGGTGATTGTAATACCTTGGTGTTTTATTATTAGGAA